GAACGCTGACTCAGCTTTGCATGAACACTGACTCAGCTTTATGTGAACGCTGACTCAGCTTTGCATGAACGCTGACTCAGCTTTATGTGAAGGCTGACTCAGCATTGCGTGAAGGCCGACTCAGCTTTGCGTGAACGCTGACTCAGCTTTGTGTGAAGGCTGACTCAGCTTTATGTGAACGCTGACTCAGCTTTGCATGAACGCTGACTCAGCTTTATGTGAAGGCTGACTCAGCATTGCGTGAAAGCTGACTCAGCTTTGCGTGAAAGCTGACTCAGCTTTGCGTGAACGCTGACTCAGCTTTGTGTGAACGCTGACTCAGCTTTGTGTGAAGGCTGACTCAGCTTTGTGTGAACGCTGACTCAGCTTTGTGTGAAGGCTGACTCAGTGTTTGCACAACCAGAACTAACAGAACTTTTCCTCCAGGTGACTCCTTTTTGAAGCATTCTGGGATGCGGTTCACCACCAAAGACCGGGACCAGGACCAGTCTGAGAACAACTGTGCGGCGTATTATCAGGGGGCGTGGTGGTACCGGAACTGCCACACATCCAACCTGAATGGGCAGTACCTGAGAGGAGGCCACGCCTCCTATGCTGATGGCGTGGAGTGGTCCAGCTGGACCGGCTGGCAGTACTCTCTCCGGTTCACCGAAATGAAGATACGACCCAGAAATCCAGAGTCCTGAACCAAAACTCTCTCCTTCTCCACGGTCCAGGAGGAGCTCTCGGGTCTGAACAGCAGTTCCTCTTTGATGTTCCAGGACCAAACTGAACCACCAGGTGATGGGGCTTTGCTGCTGCATCTCTGTGGAACAGTTCCCGTCTTCATACACGGACCTCTGAGACCGCCAGACTTTTAGATCTGTGAACCCGAACCGGAGCAGGAGGTCCAACAGAACTGATGCTTTCATGTTTCTGTGTTTCAGCTTTTACTTCTTCTTTCATGTTTCCTGCATTTTATTGCTCTGTTCCTGACGGAGCTGTAAAACACTTTTAATGTGCTAGAGAAATTAAAGTGAGACGACACGACCTTTGACCCCGAGCCCTGCAGAACCTGACTCCAGGTCTGTGCGCAGCTTCACTTGTTGAATTAAACGTGTTTTCTTCTTGTAGAGCTGAGGAGTTCCTTATTAAAGATCTCAGTGTTTCGTTTGTTTGATGATTCTTCTCGTGAAACTGTTGAAAGTTACGTAGTTTTTACAGATTTTAAACTCTTTAAGGACGTCCAGGTGTCCCACAGTTCAGGTATCCGAGAGAGGTGGGAGGACGGAGCGGGAGGTGGATCCATGGATCAGGGCCTCGTCCTCAGTAATGAGGACGTTGCTTCGGTCGGGCATTGTGAAGAAAGAGCTGAGTCTAAAGGCAAAGCTCTGGATGTACTGGTCCGGGGTCAGACCCAGAACTCTCTGGAGGGATTATAGATCCACTCCGTCCTGCACACCACCTGCTGCCTCCACCCGACTACGGAAACATAGAAGAAGACGGGGTTAGACTTCAGGAGCTGGAGAAGTGAAAGGCAGCTAACAGCGAGGAGGTTTCTGTTTTTGTTCACAGGTGAGTCTGTCGTTCACACAGGTACACCTGCTGCTTCCTTCCACCTGCTCTGGTTCTACAAAGATCAACCTGTGAAGCGACAGAGTCGTACCTGTCCCAGCCAAACATGGCAAATTTGTCAATCATCTGTTCACTCCCTCAGTGGCTGATACAGCTGTTGACATCTGGGTCTGGAGGGGAGTGCATCACTGTGAGATCTCTGTCGATTATAGATTTGTTTCTTTTGAACAGCTGGTGCAGAAGTGTAATATTCACAATCGGGGCGCACCGATAAATCGGCCCCCATTTCCGTAATTTTGGGAAATCGGAAATGGTCCGGTACTTGGATGAGAAACTGATTTTACCGATTTCTTTAGTTTTAACAACAATTGTCTAAACTTCATTTATATTTCAGAGCACTGCCTCATGGCCAGTTAAAACAAGTTTGTATAGTTTCTAGTATGTTGTTCAAGGGCATGTTTTCAATAAAATAATAGAAAACTGAAGGTGCGTTGTGAACTTTAACACCTGACTGTGTCGTTTATAAAACTAAATCAGAATCGGCAGCTCAGACTTTGTAGAAATCGGTGATCGGACAGAAAACTGCAGTCGGTGCACGTCTATTTCACAAGTCACAATGTTTTAGATATTCACAGCTGAGACATTTTGTGAGATCGGACTGTTTTCCTTTGTACCCCTCTAAACATTTAGTGGTTAAGATTTTAGAGTGTAGGTCTGATACCAAGGAGGCCGTCAGTAAGTAGTACGTTTAAAGACGTACGTAACATTATTTTTATTTTTCTGCAAAAGGTCCAGCTGATCGATGATGATGTCACTCATTAAACCCAATGAATCCAATCAGCTACTTAGACTACAAGCATGTCTTAAAGACATAAAAACCTGGATGACCCTTAATTTTCTCCTGTTGAACAGACAAGACTGAGGTTTTGGTTTTTGGACCTGAGCACCTTAGGAATGAATGTTTCAGTCTTTCTCCCTCCTTAGATGCATTAATCTGTCCTCCAGCTCTAATGTTAAAAATCTTGGTGTTATTTTTGATCAGGACATGTCTTTTATCCCCCACATTAAAAACGTTACTAGAACCTCCTTCTTCCACCTGCGTAATATCACTAACATTAGAAACATCTGATCTAAAGATGATGCAGAAAAACTGGTCCATGCATTTGTCACGTCTAGACTGGACTGTTGCAATGGTTTATTATCTGGGTGTCCAAATACTTCTTTAAAACGTCTTCAGTTGATCCAAAATGCTGCTGCCAGAGTCTTAACTGGAGTTACTGGGAGAGATCATATTTCTCCAGTTTTAGCTTCTCTCCATTGGCTCCCTGTCAAATCCAGAATAGAATTCAAAATCTTACTTCTAACCTACAAAGCTCTCAACAACCTACCTCCATCTTATATTACAGATCTTATTGTTCCATATTTTACTAACAGAGCACTTCACTCTCAGACTGCAGGTTTACTTGTGGTTCCTAGAGTTTCCAGCAGCAGAATGGGAGGAAGATCTTTCAGTTATCAGGCTCCTCTCTTGTGGAACCAACTTCCTGTTTCTGTCCGTGAGGCTGACATATTGTCCAGTTTAAGACTGGGATTAAGACTTTCCTTCTTGATAAATCCTATAGTTAGGGTCGGCTTGGGTTTCCTGAGCTGTCCCTTAGTTCTGCTGCTATAGGCTCAGACTGCTGGAGGACAAACTGACCACAATTTTCACTCTGCTACTGTCTTTACTTACTCTGCTCAACCTGTTTGTATTTGTAATTATTTTTTCTATCCTTAACATGTGTTTGTCTTTCAGATACAACTGGACCTGCACCTAGACCTGGACCTATATCTGGACCTGGACCTATACCTGGACCTACCATTCTGTGTTCGTCTGTCTCTCCTTCCTGTCCTCTCAAAGGTCAAAGCAGATGGTCTCTTGTCCTGAGCTGGTTCTGCTGGAGGTTTCTTCCTGTTAAAGGGAGTTTTTCTTCCCACTGTCTCCACTGTGCTTGCTCAGGATGGGAGACTGCAACGAAGCCAAGATTCAACTTGTCTGCTGGATTCCTTAGATAGAGAACTTTACTAACTGTCTTTTATGTGAATGTTCCTGTAAAGTCCCTGAGACAACTTGGTTGTGATTTGGTGCTTTAGAAATAAACTGAATTGAATTAAATTTCAAAACCAATGCAGACGTGTTCCTGTTTGTACTTTTCTCCACCGCCTTACAATCTAGCTGTTTTTATTTCTCACTACTTTTCCTTTTGATTGTCCTTTCGGTTGCCATTTTATTTTAACTTGTTGGAAAAATAAAATACATAAATAAATACATTTGTATGCCTCTTTTATGATTGTCTATTGTTGTCATCACTCTTTATTAAAAAACAGGTTTCTCTTGTAAATGAGTCCCCGAGGCTCAATGGGACTAACCTGTTTAAATAAACCTGTAAACAAACCTTTAAATTAACCAGTTTAAATTAACCTGTTTAAATTAACCAGTTTAAATAAACCTGTTTAAATTAACCAGTTTAAATAAACCTGTTTAAATTAACCAGTTTAAATTAGCCTGTTTAAATTAACCAGTTTAAATTAACCAGTTTAAATTAACCAGTTTAAATTAACCAGTTTAAATTAACCAGTTTAAATAAAGGTTGAATGAAAAATCAAAGGAAAAGAAAGGACGCAGCAGTTTCTGTGGTGACGTCATCACGTACAGACGCACACCGTATGAAATATGTGATTCGCGGGAAAATGAAAAAAATGGCGACTGCATGAGTTTGAAGTTTAGAGTGAGACAGACGGACCGGGACAGAGGGACAGAGAGGAGGACAGAGAGGAGGACAGAGAGGAGGACAGAGACAGAGAGACTTACCGGGGGTGAGCCGGGACTCTGCCGCCGCCGGACCGTTCGGAGCACCGGAGGAGCAGGAGGGAGGAGGGACACGGTCCGCCGCAGAGGAGGTGAGCGGCGGCTCGGAGTCCGGGTGTTCCCCCGGTACCGTCAGCTCGGTTGGTCGGACCTGCAGGTGAGCCCGGCTCACATTCTTACACCAGGTTAGTCCGGACTCATGGCTTTACTTTAATTTATTGTAATTGTTAGGAAATGGTGTTTGTGCTCGTGTCGGTGTTTATGAACAATCGCAGTCAGAACTCTGACTTTTTATTTTATTTTTAATAAACCAGTAAATAACGTTATCGGGTGTTGCTGGAGTTTCTCGTTAGGTACTGGATCTGGTTCTGGTTCTGGTTCTGGGTGTGTGCTGGTTTATGTGGTTAGTTAACGGTTTGTGATGGGAGGATGCACTGCGCATGCGCTGAGATGTCAGAAACCCCCTGACAGTTCAGGAATGAATCACATCAGCAGCAGAATGTCCAACTGTCTCTTTCTGTCTCACCCATGTCTCTGCAGGATGTTTGAGGACCTGGTTGAAGCCTTCTGTGGCGTGGAGCCTCGAGTGTCTCCAGAGGATGGGGGGAGCCAGAGTGGAGGACTCTTTGAGGACGATGAGGGGACAGAGTCCAGTCTGAGCGTTGGCCAGTTCGTGCTCTGCCACTGGTCAGATGGACTCTACTACGTAGGGAAGATACAGAGGGTGAGTGCACGTGTCCTCGTGCCGTCCGTCTGACTGAGCTCTGAGTGACACGTTCTCGTTGGTCACAGGTGAGCCCTCCTAGGCAGAGCTGCTTCGTCACGTTTGAGGACAACTCCAAGTTCTGGGTGCTGTGGAAGGACATCCAACACGGTGAGACAGACAGGTGCAGCACTTTCACTTTTAATCTCCGCTTTAAACAGAGATTAAAAGTGAACAGAGTTAATCCACAAATTCATTGTCTGATGTTTCTCTGAGGAAAACTATTTACTTTTCCAGCTGGTGTACCGGGGGAGGAGCCTCACTGCACTGTGTGCCAAGGGGCGGAGTCAAACTCTGACAGCCAATCAAAGGAGACCAATGAAATTCTGATCTGTGGGAAGTGTGGCATTGGTGGGTGTATGCTGCTGGCACGTAGCTGCTCCTCTCTGTGATTTTATGACCTGTTTGTTTCTACACACATGATGGGACAAAACACACGGTTGTGTGACGTCATGGTGTCGCTGCCTTCGTTAATCAGGACCGTACCACCTGGTCAAAGGGAAGAGGAAGGGTCTGCTTGAGGACAGAGAGCAACAAGTCAGAAAGATGGTTTATTTAACGTATAGTAGTAGTTTAAGTTTTAACCTAAGCAGAAAGTCCCATTAAAGCACAACAATGCTCAGTCAGGTCATCTGGATGGTTTCTTTTTTGTGGAAAGATGTTTCGCCCTCTATCCGGAGGGCTTCGTCAGTCTGAGGAGTCCCAAGTAAACTGTTTCCCCACTGGAGGCTGCCCTGAGGACAGCCCCCAGAAACCATCTTATCACCAGTAATCTGGTTGGTCCACTAAAGGAGTGTACCGCTTGGTGGGGAAAACAGTTTATTTGGGACTCCTCAGACTGATGAAGCCCTCCGGATAGAGGGCGAAACATCTTTCATTGAATGACCATTATTGGATTTTGTACCTGGATGATTGAGCATGAACTTTGAGATCACATTAAAGCAGCTTTCAAGCTTAAAAAACGTACTTTAAAATAAAAACACATGAATTTAATTAAAACAAGTTTGAAAGATGAGAATTGAGCTGCTTGTTGATATGTTTCATCTACAGCCTTAAAACGACATTAGAACATTGTTCAGCGTCTGAACAAGTAAAATCTGAATAACTAAATTAGAGATTATTTCACACACAAGTAAGTTGTTAGTGGCAGTGGCAGTGGTGCACCTCACTCCTGTTTGTTCTGTGTTCCAGGCTTCCACCAGCTGTGCCATGTTCCTCCAGTAGAGGGCGACATCAGCGACCTGAGCCCCTGGTTCTGCAGACAGTGTGTCTTTGCTCTGGCTGTCCGGGTACCTGCTCTGCTTTCTGTGTGGATCAGTCACTCTGCTCATTAGCTGCTTCATTGTTATTTACCTCAAATACGAGTTCTGGTTGTGTGAAGAATACGTTAGACCAGTCAGAGTCTCAGTTTGTGCTCAAGAAACATAACCTTGAATCAGAAATCCTGGCCAACTATAGACCTATATCTAATCTAACTTTCATCTAAAAAATTCTAGAGAAACTAGTTGCAGGTCAGTTGCGTGAACATCTACAAAGAAATAATCTGTTTGAAGAGTTTCAGTCAGGGTTTAGAGCTCATCATAGCACAGAAACAGCACTAGTAAAAGTCACTAATGATATTCTCATGGCCTCAGACAATGGACTTGTGTCTCTACTGGTCCTGTTAGACCTCAGTGCTGCATTTGAAACAGTTGATCACAATATTTTACTACAGAGGCTTGAATATGATGTTGGGATTACAGGAACAGCTCTAAAATGGTTTAAATCATATCTATCTGATAGATTCCAGTTTGTAAATGTAAATAATGAATCTTCTTCATACACCAAAGTTAGTCATGGAGTTCCTCAGGGCTCAGTGCTTGGACCAATACTCTTTACTTTATATATGCTTCCATTAGGTAAAGTTATTAAACAGCATGAGATAAATGTTCATTGTTATGCTGATGACACAATTATATTTGTCCATTAAACCCAATGAATCCAATCAGCTACTTAGACTACAAGCATGTCTTAAAGACATAAAAACCTGGATGACCCTTAATTTTCTCCTGTTGAACACAGACAAGACTGAGGTTTTGGTTTTTGGACCTGAGCACCTTAGGAATGAATGTTTCAGTCTTTCTCCCTCCTTAGATGCATTAATCTGTCCTCCAGCTCTAATGTTAAAAATCTTGGTGTTATTTTTGATCAGGACATGTCTTTTATCCCCCACATTAAAAACGTTACTAGAACCTCCTTCTTCCACCTGCGTAATATCACTAACATTAGAAACATCTGATCTAAAGATGATGCAGAAAAACTGGTCCATGCATTTGTCACGTCTAGACTGGACTATTGCAATGGTTTATTATCTGGGTGTCCAAATACTTCTTTAAAACGTCTTCAGTTGATCCAAAATGCTGCTGCCAGAGTCTTAACTGGAGTTACTGGGAGAGATCATATCTCTCCAGTTTTAGCTTCTCTCCATTGGCTCCCTGTCAAATCCAGAATAGAATTCAAAATCTTACTTCTAACCTACAAAGCTCTCAACAACCTAGCTCCATCTTATATTACAGATCTTATTGTTCCATATTTTACTAACAGAGCACTTCACTCTCAGACTGCAGGTTTACTTGTGGTTCCTAGAGTTTCCAGCAGCAGAATGGGAGGAAGATCTTCCAGTTCTCAGGCTCCTCTCTTGTGGAACCAACTTCCAGTTTCTGTCCATGAGGCTGACACATTGTCCAGTTTAAGACTTTCCTTTTTGATAAATCCTATAGTTAGGGTCAGCTTGTTATGCTGCTATAGACTTGGACTACTAGAGGACAAACTGACCTCATTTCCTTGAATTGTTAAAATTGAATAGTTTTCATTTGATACTATTTCTATCTTAACATGTGATTCTTGACCTGCCATTGTGTATCTATTCCTACCAAACCCAGCCGGTGGAAGCAGATGGTCCTCTAGTCCTGATCCTGGTTCTGTTAAAGGTTTCTTCCTCATGAGGGAGTTTTTCTTTCCACTGTCGCCTTCATGCTTGTTCAAGATGAGAGTTCAGTGATGGAGTTAAACTCAAAGCTGCTCCTCAGATAAATAATGTTCAATTATTATTTTATACATGAATGTTTCTGTTCAATTATTATTTTATA